AAAACTTTTAATTTATTCATAATTTTAATATTATTTTACAATTGTAATAGCAGGAGATATAATTTGGCCTATCGGTCATATATGTAATACGTATTACCAATTTAAATATAGGATTTCCGATTTTAATATTGCAACATGTGATCATGTATTACGGTTATTAACAAAGAATTTTTTTATTTTTTCAGCTGATTATTTTTTTGTCTTTTCATTTACAAAAACCTAATAAAATAGAAGTAAAATTTTATTTTTTTTCCTTAAATATAAACACAAACATATTTAAATTAAATAACTCAGAATTTAAATATAAACAAATATTATAGTTTGTTTACACATATTTCAAATTATGGTTTGAGCATTTTGGCCAAAGTAAATCTTGCTCTTTAATTAAAAGTAGTTCAGCAAGTTTGAAGCTGTTAAGATATTAATCTACATGAAAGCACAGTTAATATTTTTGGAGTTATTTACATTTTTACATGATAGTACTAAGTTACAAATTTTTTTTACCTTCAGAGCGTATTTTGGGCAGTTTAGTCAAAGTAAATCGACTTCTTATATTAATTGAAAGTTTTTTGGCGGGTCAAAATCTGCTTGGATATTAATTTTCATGAAGGTACAGTTAATACTTGAAGAGTTATTCACGTTTTTCACAACGGTACTCATTCACGAATTTTATTTTTTCCGTTTTGTCACTTCAGAGCGTATTTTGGGCACTTTAGTCAAAGTAAATCGACTTCTTATATTAATTGAAAGTTTTTCGGCGGGTCATAATCTGCTTGGATATTAATTTTCATGAAGGTACAGTTAATACTTGAAGGGTTATTCACGTTTTTCACAACGGTACTCATTCATGAATTTTATTTTTTCTGTTTTGTCACTTCAGAACGTATTTTGAACATTTTGGTCAAAGGAAATCGACTTCTTTTATTAATTAAAAGTTGTTTAGCAGTCAAAATCCAATTTTCATGAAAATGCAGTGGAGTAATTTATATTTTTTATGATCATACTATACTGAATTGCAAATAAATTTACATTCTTTAATGTATTTTTAAAATTTAAATTTTTATTTAATATTACTTAATAAAGCATTATTATTTAAAATTAAATTTAATATTACAATATAAATTTTTCTTTATTTTTTACCATACAAAAAAATTGTATATGGATTATGGAATCTACATTTTTATATTGGTAATACACTAACGATCTATGAAATCGGCTGTAAAAGTCACAAATTGGACAGATGTAGCCAAAAATTGGCTATCCGATTTTTTGCCAATTTTTACTTATTCTGATTCTTTTTTTAACGCGTTTATTTATTAAGTTCATAAATGATTACATAATTAACATACTTATTCTGATAATAGGCAGTATATATAAAGTAAATTGCATGTATACAAAAGGTTAACAATAAATGTGAATAAATGAAACTTAATAAATAAATGCAATGTATGAAACATTATAAATTAATGAAATATATTAGTATTAAAAAACAGATGCTATTCTATTATTTGAATTTAATAATAAATATATGAATTTAATTAAGTACTTTAAAATGTGGAATATTAAAAAATATGGAGATTTTATTTTTTTATAAGCATACAGTATGAATATACAGTATAAAAAAAAGATATATCATTTTATTGTTTCAAAATATAAATGGATTAATGGAGTTTTTTTCTTTATATAAATCATGTTAAAATCACATCGCAAAATATCTTTTACAAAATAAATATAATTTCGTCCATATTATGTTTCTATATTTTCATATCAATTTTTATTATTTTTTTTTTTGCCACTATTTTATTAATAGAAAATTTAAAAACAAATTTTTATAGTGATAAAAAAATTATTAAAAACACTAAATAAATAAAAGAATTACAATGATGGAAAAAAAATTGGCTTTGACTGAAAAAGGAATAATATTCATTTAAAAAAAATTTGTAATTACAAAAACTGAAAATAACTGGATAGCTGCATCATTCATTCCAAGAGGATGGGAATAGAAAAATTATTATTAATACAAACTAAGTTTTTTTGTAAAAAAAGTGATTAAAATTTCATTAACCGGAAAATTATATTAGCAATAAAGAATTGTGTATAATATGACCCGACCGCCAATCAAATAACATGGACAGATCAGGTTACATACAGATGGTGGCCTAAATGATCCGGCCACTTTTCAAAATTAAAAAATTTTTATATGTTTTATAAAATGAAAATAAAAATTTAACATGTTCATTACGCCTTCCTTTATTGAATTTTACAAAAATTTAATAATTAATTCTATATCCATTCGCGAAAATAACAGCATTGACCCTCTGAGGCATACTATCAATTAATTTTCGATAATATTCAGGAGGGAGATCATCCCATGCAACCTTGACGTATACTTAACATTATCATCATATCTAATATTTTATTAAAATCAATACAAACTATTATATTTATATTTATCTTTATATTATTACCATTTAACATGTTACAGGATTAATTCATTTTGATCATTAAATATAATATTTCTTTAATAAAACTAATAAACTCAAAATAAACCATAAAATTTATTATTTGATAAATATACAAAATACAAATCAACTTTTTAATATAAACCCTATTATATTACTTAAAATATATATAAATAATTACTGAATAATGCAATAATTATATTATAACTCACTAACAATACCAAATTACCCTAGTTATTTCATTAAATTATCTGGACGAACCTTTTTTTTTTAAAAAAAAAATACACACCTGATAAAAAAACTGTGACCATCAGAATTTTAAATTTATTTATTTATTATTTATTTTTTAATGTATAAATATAAAAAATAAAATATCTTATTACGTAAATCTGCTGAATATTAACCGTTAATAATTAGTCTCTTAAAAATTTGATAAATTTAATTTTCAAATCATTATAATTTTGGATTACTATATTACTATATAACTTAAACTCCTTTAGTACTTCATCTTTCAGACAAAATAATCATAAGCATCAGTGAAATGATTTTGAAAAGCAAGGTATTTAGCACTTTTCATGTTCATGAAATAATCCATGTACGACAATCATTAAATCATTTATTTTTTATGTGACATTAAGTTACTTATACAAATCATAACACTGACCTATTTTATGCCGGACAAAAATAAAATTTAGATTCTCGTTACCCGGCCAGGTCAGTTTTTCGAAAAATGGATTTTTTTTTTTATAGTAAAAAAAAATTTATCACGTGATTTTAAGTTTTTGGCCAATGTGCGTAAAAAATTTTACATATGAAAAAATTTTACATATATAAAATTCCGGTCATTTTTAGAATTTTATGTCACGAGAATCTAAAAAATTTTTTTGCCCGCCCTTAGTTGCAAAATTCAAAAAAATATTATCATGAGATTATTTAAAAAATGTTTCATAATGAGAGTGATATTGCATAAAGAACGGTATGAAAAGAAATTACAATTTTTATCATTTTCACAATAAAAAACCAACTTTTAATTATATCATATCATATTTTTTCAACATTATATTTTTGACAATTAAATTATTAAGATGATTCTGAAAATATGCTAAGACAATTACAAAATCAATTACAGGCTTTTCAAAATGATAATTATAAAATTTATAAAAGATCAGTCCGTACTTTATTATAAAGTTTGAGGTAATATATTAACTAAAATACTTCATACACTTCAAGATATTCTACTATTAATAACCAAAGTTATATACCAACCAATCCTTGGGTACCAAGTCAAATTTAATAAATTAATAGATATATTTGAAACAAATATATTAAATCAATTTATTTATGCTCCCTGTGCATTTTTATTTTATTTTCTTTCATTTTCACTTTTGATTTTATTATCATTGTTATATTATATTTAATTAAACAAATAACAATTGCACATTAAATTATTACATTACTGATGTCCAGGGACGGTGTTAGACGCATTTCTACTCGTTATTAATTAAAATATGAAAATGTGGTCTGAACCGTACCCAGACCAGAATTTTTAATTAAAATTGCAATTTTATGCGATATTGTTTATGATTTTATGATTCTAAAAAATATTAAACAACGTTGAAAATTGCAGCCCGTATTTAGAGATAATTCTGGCTCGAATTAACTAAAATCTGATCTGCATAATATAAACTGAAACGTAAATTACGTAAATTCTATGATCATACTTATGCCCGTGATGGATAATCACGTTGCTACAAAAATAATCCTTTATTAATAATATACAACGCTTGGTTAATGTAATACTCAAAATTATAAAAATAAAATCCAAAATGAAAAAAAAATCCTTTTTCCTTAATACAATCTATCTCCCTTTTAATAGTAAAATGATTTATTTTCATTAAAATAAATTCAGTGTTTTTCGTCTTCCCTTTTTGAAATCTTCCAATTTCAATTTGACAAATTTTACTTTTAGTAAACCTTTTCCTCTCATTATAAGAATTTCAAAAATGTCATTTTCGACTTTTCATTAATATCGACTTTTCAAAACTTCTTTTATTTGATCTTCACTTTCATTTCCTTATTTAGTAGTCTCCCGAACTTAATTCCCGTACCCAAATCTAAAAATAGAGATGAACACAAGAATAGTTTTACATCGTTACGGATGTTACATTTGTAACATTCCACAATTATAATACTTCAAATTTTATACGCTTAAGCTAAATATAATACTGCGCCCCACAATTAACAAATTCACTGGGTAATTTCCAGCATTACACCGGGTTGTATCCAAAGTAGTTGTTCATAAATCCCAAAGTACCCTGGATGCACCCAAGATTGCTATCCGGGATTTTTGATCATATATAAATCATTACACAGTACAATCAGTGCACCTATTTTTAAAGTATCACCTGAAGTGATCGACAGTTACTGTACTTCCATGCACAATTACGTTTTGGTAATACAAGTCCTTATAAGAAGAAAACTTAAATCGCATGAAAAAAAAAAAAAAAATATTAACTTCGTCAATAAAATTTAAGAAGTCCAATAATGTCTAATAACACTGAGTCTAATATACCCGTAAAATTTACTGAAAATTCAAATAATGAGTGGATTAATTGGATTGAGGAAGCCATTGCAAAAGATTACTTTAAATATTATGAACTCAATCAGTTTACTAATTTTCAAGAAATTGGGGTTGGAGGGTTTGGGAAAGTTTACCGTGCGAAATGGAAAAGTTCTCCATATTATTTGGCATTAAAATCTTTTTTCAATTGTAACAACGTCACAATTAAAGAGATAGTTAAAGAGGTAATAATAAAATAATTATTACATTATAATTTATATAACTTCTAATTTAAAATTCTATTTAGCTTAAAATTCAGCGTGAAGTGGATTTTCATGAGAATATTATTCGTTTCTGTGGTATTGCAACAGGTACAATATACCTTCTTTTCATGCATAATTTGATTGTAAAATCTAAATTTATTATTTTATTTTATTTTTTTTACAAAGAAAATCAAGTTGATAATTCAAAAAAATATTTGTTAGTAATGGAATATGCAAATGGAGGTACTCTTCGAGAATATTTGAAGAAACATTTTGATAATCTTACTTGGAATAATAAATCTAATATGGCATTTCAGTTGGCTTGTGCTATATTATGCTTACACGACGAAGGAATTATTCACCGTGATCTGGTAATTCATTTGTTTACATTTTGTTATTTCATGTTTGTTGAATTGTAATTAATAAATTTATTGTATTTAATAATATTAATAGCATTCCAAAAATGTATTAGTTCATCAAAATATAGTTAAATTAGCTGATTTTGGTCTATCAAAAAGAATTGAAGAATCATCCAACCTTTCTTCAACGAAATTATTTGGAATGGTTCCTTATATTGACCCAAAAAGTTTTAGTAATCAAGATTATAAATTGAATAAAAAAAGTGATATTTATAGTATTGGAATACTTTTATGGGAGATATCTAGTGGAAATCCTCCTTTTGATACTGAAGGTAAACCGAATGACGTTTGTTTAGCAATTAATATATCACAAGGCCTTAGAGAGACACCCATTCCTGATACGCCCGAAGATTATGTAAATATTTATGCTGGTAAATATAATTAATAATTAATTTATGTTTATATTAATGTTAATTAAATTAATTCTATTTATTTTTAGATTGTTGGAATAATGAACCAGATAATCGTCCAACTATCAATCAGGTGGTCTTTAAATTAAATGCAATTATTCTGAAGAATAATAATATGATTATAGACGATATTCGGACAAATGACTCTTGTACAAACCAATTATCAAGTAAACAACAACTCGATTTGAATGCTTTTGAAGATCCTATAAATACTTCATCACCATCACATGGGGAATTATCCAAATTTATTCAAAAGTTTAACAAAATGAATACTAAAGAAATAGATTCTTCAATATTATCGAATAATAACTTTAAGGTGACAGTTGATGAAATGGTTGAACTTTCTGATAAATTAAGCGTAGAAAATGAAGAATTAGAAAGACTATGCATTTATAATTATCTTAATAATCATAATATAACTCCACAGGAAATTTATATTTGGTTATTAAATAATCAAAATCATTCAAATTCTATTGTTTTACTTGGAGATTTTAATTATTTAGGAATTGAAATTAATATTGATAAAAAAAAGGCATTTGAATTATATCAGGTAGCTGCAAATTCAGGAAATATTATAGCACAATATAATCTTGGTTGCTGTTATACATATGGGAATGGTGTTTATAAAGATTATGATAAAGCTTTTGAATTATTTAAGAAAGTAGCTGAAAGAGAATATTCAAAAGGAATAAACTATTTAGGATTTTGTTATTTTAAAGGAATTGGAACTGATGTTGATTTTAAAAAGGCATTTGAATTAAATCAAAAATCAGCAGATTTAGGATATGCAAGTGGAATAGCTAATTTAGGATTTTGTTATTTTAAAGGAATTGGAACTAATATTGATTTAAAAAAAGCATTTGAATTATATCAAAAGGCAGCAGATTTAGGATATGCAGGTGGAATAACTAATTTAGGATATTGTTATAAACAAGGAATTGGAACTGATATTGATATAAAAAAGGCATTTGAATTATATCAAAAGGCAGCAGATTTAGGAAATGCAGATGGAATATTTTATTTAGGATATTGTTATGAACAAGGAATTGGAACTGATATTGATTTAAAAAAAGCATTTGAATTATATCAAAAGGCAGCAGATTTAGGATATGCAGGTGGAATAACTAATTTAGGATATTGTTATAAACAAGGAATTGGAACTGATATTGATTTAAAAAAGGCATTTGAATTATATCAAAAGGCAGCAGATTTAGGAAATGCAGATGGAATATTTTATTTAGGATATTGTTATGAACAAGGAATTGGAACTGATATTGATTTAAAAAAAGCATTTGAATTATATCAAAAGGCAGCAGATTTAGGATATGCAGGTGGAATAACTAATTTAGGATATTGTTATGAACAAGGAATTGGAACTGATATTGATTTAAAAAAGGCATTTGAATTATATCAAAAGGCAGCAGATTTAGGAAATGCAGATGGAATATTTTATTTAGGATATTGTTATAAACAAGGAATTGGAACTGATATTGATTTAAAAAAGGCATTTGAATTATATCAAAAGGCAGCAGATTTAGGAAATGCAGATGGAATATTTTATTTAGGATATTGTTATGAACAAGGAATTGGAACTGATATTGATTTAAAAAAGGCATTTGAATTATATCAAAAGGCAGCAGATTTAGGAAATGCAACTGAAATATTTTATTTAGGATGTTGTTATCAAAAAGGAATTGGAACTGATATTGATTTTAAAAAGGCATTTGAATTATATCAAAAGGCAGCAGATTTAGGAAATGCAGATGGAATATTTTATTTAGGATATTGTTATGAACAAGGAATTGGAACTGATATTGATTTAAAAAAGGCATTTGAATTATATCAAAAGGCAGCAGATCTAGGAAATGCAACTGGAATATTTTATTTAGGATGTTGTTATCAAAAAGGAATTGGAACTGATATTGATTTTAAAAAGGCATTTGAATTATATCAAAAGGCAGCAGATTTAGGAAATGCAACTGGAATATTTTATTTAGGATGTTGTTATCAAAAAGGAATTGGAACTGATATTGATTTTAAAAAGGCATTTGAATTATATCAAAAGGCAGCAGATTTAGGAAATGCAACTGGAATATTTTATTTAGGACGTTGTTATCAAAAAGGAATTGGAACTGATATTGATTTTAAAAAGGCATTTGAATTATATCAAAAGGCAGCAGATTTAGGAAATATTACAGCCCAATATAATCTTGCTTTTATGTATGAGAATGGAAAAGGAATTGTTAAAGACATAAATCAAGCAATTTACTGGTATAAAAAATCTGCATTACAAGGAAATCAAAATGCTCAAAATAAATTGGAACAAATTCATGTAAAGTAAATTGAGAATATTATTGCTTAATGCTTAAATAAAATAAATAAGCAAAATACTGTTATAGAATTTATAGAATTTATTTCATTTGTTTTTTTTTTTAAAGTATTGTATATTAAAGTAATAGCATTGTTTGCCGATATTGGTCATTAATAACTTTAAAAGATTTATTTAAAATAGATTCATAAGAAATAAATAAATAATATTTTTTGTTGATAACTGCTAGTAAATAGTAAATATACACATTTTTTATGTTTATTTACTAATTGTTAAGTGCGGTGTTTAAAATATAACCATGTTGCCGTAAAGATCCGAATTCTTTGGAATTCCACACTTCTAAAGGTAAAAAAATTCGGCATTGAGATTTGAGAAAAACTCTTTTAAACTAGATCCGTGATTTGTGCTATATACTTTTCCAAAAGAATTAAAACTTTAAAATCTGTAACAAAAGATAAATTTTTTAGATAATAATAGTACGTGCATTACTAGCAAATAACGTAAAAATGAACATTATGAAGCTTGATGAGTAAGCCATTCCAAAGAATTCAGAAAGTTCTTTTGACAAAAATCACAAAATATACGATTATGTGTGAAACTAAATAAAATTTATAATTAACGTAGTATTTAAGTCACTTTCTAAAGTTTGATGAACTTTATAAAATTTATATTTCACTTATTAGATGTTTTACATTTTCATTCCTTTATTTATACACTATTCACTTTTATTAATTTTGTTATATTAAACCAATAAAATTTTTTTTTAAAAGAAACATATCTAAATTGTGAAAAATTTTATTCATTTAAAAGGATAATCAAACTTTCAGTATTATTAAAATAGTTACGTTCTGACAGTTACAGCTATGATATCATCTATTGACTGATCATATCGTATTACCACCATACGAAACAATCGAAACATGTATATATATTATATATACAAAAAGTTTACAAGTTTATATTTGAATGATTTATAAATTTAATATAAAGTTCTCTTTACAAATGTTAAAAGTATAATGTCATTTGTAATAATGTCAAATAAATATCCAATTCATTATTTCATCACAGATGAAAATGATCAACATTTTAAGTATGTAAGCATGCAAAAATTTGTTATCTAATTGTCTAATGCAAAATTGCCATTATTTTTATTTAAGAAATTCATGGAGTTAAATTTAAACATTTCAAATTTAATATAAACTAATGACGAAAGTAAAATAATTGTTAAATTTTCTTATTGAACGTGATTCTCAGGTTTCTGCTTGAAATCAAGGTTTCTAATTTTAAGATTCCTACTTTAATTAACTTACAATATCTTTATCATATGATTGAAAGGTTTTTTTAAAACATCATTGTTTAAATTTGAATGTTAAAGTTTCTTTAACGTGAGCGTGCCAGTCCTAAAAATATTATTATGGAAAATAATTCAAAATCAAATAGTTTTATCAAATTATTTATTTAGTTATGATTGTATGAAATCAATTAATAAAGCGAACAAATCGATTTATGATCTTATTGTAATATGTACTAATTACTATTTGTTGCTGCCGTAGCCAAGCCTTTTAAAAAACTTGTTGCCACCTGATCACCACGTTGAGGTGCAGCAACATTGATCGGGAGAAGAGGAAACGAAAGGGAAAGGGAACGAAAGGGAAAGTGAAAGTGAAGGGAAGGGAAAACGAAAGGGAAAGGGAAAGCGAGAGGGAAAGGGAAAGGGAACGAAAGGGAAAGGGGAAAACGAAAGGGAAAGGGAAAACGAGAGGAAAGGAGAAAAACACAAAGGAAAGGGGAAGTGGAGGGAAGAGGAAGAAAAAGAGAAAACGAAAGGAAAGAGAAAAGTGAGAGAGAGATAAGGGAAAGAGCGAGGAAATACACAAACATACACGCCACCCAACACACAACAACCCATATACCTAAAGGAGACGTAAAGAAAAGGGACCCAAGAATAAAGAGAAGACCTAAACAGAAAGAAGACAGACTTAAAAAAAGAAGATAAAGAAGACCAGTCGAAGAAAAAAAGATAAAGAAAACCTAAAGATTATCATGACAAAACCTACATCAAGATTATGTGTTACATGTCATAAGGAATTATTATCTGCATATTTGCATGAGTAATTTTTTCGCGTAACTTTTTATATGACTAATTATATTTAACTTTTATGTTACACTAGGAAACGGGAAACTTCAAGAGTTTATTGTATATTGTCACGTGCCGGAAGGACAGACTGACGTTTTTACTACGCTCCAGACAATAGTTATAATTTTTATTTAACATATTTATAAAAAAAAAAAATTAAAATCCTTAAATCACATGAACAGCAAATTTTTCGTTACACAGTATTTTCTCAACGCGGAAAAAATATGGTCTGAAAAAATTTTTTGTCGTTGAAATAAAAAGTCTAATAAAATAGTAAAGTTCATTTCTAAAATAAAGTCAAATGGAAACCAAATTTAGTAATCAACTATCTCAGATAAAGCGTAAAGGTACCGACTGATTCGTACTGCAATAAGCCTTATACTGAAGAATTATGGTGTAAAGAACGTTTAGAAAACTTAGCATGCTTAATTTAGCCATATATTACTATTATAGAAAAAGAATTTAGAAAAAGTCTTTATTGGTATCAAAAAGTAGCAAAAAATGGTAAAATGGTAATAAGAAGTAATAAATCCCTATAAAAAAATTGGATACGTTTTTTATAAAGTTTTTATACGATTTTTTTTCCTTAGAAATAACGTATCATAATAGGATACGGAAAAATGCACAATTCCGTATCACTAAAAATATGGTTTGGATACAGAATTTGCACGGGATTTATATGGAATTTACATGATTTGATCATTGATTTTATCACGAAATTTATACGATTTGGTCACTGAATTTACTATTTGTATTACAGTTTACTATAATTGTATTTACATAAATCTAATTTTACTTTATTAAATTAAATAAAAAATAAAAAATAAACAAAGTACAAATACATTATGAAAATTCCCTCCTTATTAAAACCACCTATTGCAACCAAAATTATCTATAAGTTCACGTTCATTTGGAGTCAAACAACCATGAAAGAACAATAAAAAAAGATTGGAAACAAAACCCCCCTCATATAGTATCTGCAATCGTCCAAGTCACCAAAGGTCAGCATTCCTACAAAAAAAGAAAGAGAACTCCAGAATGTCTGACCTACATAAAAGAAAAGAATTATGAGGCGTCTAATGAAAAAGAAACCAAAACAACAAAATAAATCCAAAACTGACCTATAAAAAAAGAAGACTCTGAAGCAACAAAACTGAAACAACCTACAAAAAGAAAAGAATCTAAACCCAACTTACAAAAAAACAAGAAAATTGAACTGACCTAAAAAAAGAAAAAAATCCTGAATCATCCTACAAAAAGAAAAGGACTCCAAAATGATCTACAAAAAAGAAAAAAGAAACTGAATATTCTCACAAAAAAAAATCAGCTGGCCTATGAAATTAAATATAAATAAAAAAGAAAGGGGAATAAAGAATAAATCAAAAAAAATATTTTTTCAAAAAGAGGGGTAACGAAGTTAAGAAAGTTAAAAAAAAATTTTTTTTTAAAGGGAGGACGTCAAAGTTAGAAAAATAAAAAATTTTTTATAAAGAGGAAATAGAAATAGTAAGAAGAAATTTTTTTTAAAAAAAAGAAGAGTGGGAATAAAAGAAAAAATTTTTTTTTAAGGGAGTGACGAAAAAAATTTTTTTTTCAAAGGAAAGTGACGAAAAAAAAAATTTTTTGAAGTGAGGTACGAAAAAAAAAATTATTTTTAAAAGGGGGTGACGAAGAAAGAAGAAAAATTTAGAAAAAATAACAAAAATAAGACAAGAGAAAGAGAAAGGAAAGGAAAGACAGAAAGGAAAAATCGGAAGATCAAACTCATCAAAAGTAAGGGTTTATATAAAAAACAAAAAACGTATCATAACAATAAACAATCATGTGATTTCGTGTTATGATACGGATTTTTGTAAATTATCTTCTAAAAATATTAAGTTTAAAAATTCCGTATACATTCCGCATGATTAATTTTTTCCGTATACATTTCTTATACATTAGTTTTTTAAAAAATGTTCAAAAATGAATTGCTTATTAAATATACGGAATTTGTATACGGAATCTATAGAAACGTACAAAAAATGTATACAAAACGTATCCTTTCCGTATACATATTTCTTATAGGGAATAGATTAGCCATATCATAGCATGTCTCGAATTTTGTTGATGCTGCATTAGAAAGATTAAAAAAAAATGATAGCAGTTTCAAATTTAATTCCATTAATAAGTTAAAATGAGGAAATATTATAGCTATAACAAGAATCAAAGGAAAGTGTCAAGATCAATACAAGGTTAACGTAAGAATCACGTCCAGATAAAAAATTTGAGAAACATGGACAATCCCTATTCCCTACAAATTTTACAACAAAGGCTGAAATATATCTAGGTCAATTAAAGATGCACGCATTCATAGATGCAGAAAAAAAAAATAAATTCCATTTTCCTCTACAGTATTACGCTTACTACTCTTATAATTAACAGTATATTTAAGAATTAAGTCACGTGACAATGTGACGCAACGCTAAAAAACGCTCAACTTAAGAAATACCTGGTTAACACCAGAAAATAATAAGTTCAGATTTATAATATTACAAAACGGATATATTCACTAGCGGGATCAATGAGTTTGAACGTCAGTAAAAAAGATAAAAAAGATAATTATTAATTATTTAAATCACCGTCGACGGATCTAAAAAGTTCGACGATCAACAAAATACGATAATGTAGAAGAGTTTAACTAACTGAACGAGAGTTTTAGTGAGAGAGTTGAAGAAATCAATAATAAAATTAAAGGATCAATAAGTAAAGAGAAAGTAATAGATACAGATGAGCCAGCTTTAAATGATAACAATAAACATATTGCTATAGTCCAGGAAGATAGTGAGGATGATCTCGAACCTTTAGATTTAGGTTAAATAGTCAATAAAGTGACAATTAACACTATATTAAACTATTAACAATATTTTAAATTTATATAGTATTTTTCTTTATATTGGTTACCGTTAACCGCTTTTTTGCTAACCACCTTTCCTTAGGAAAAAAAATGGATATATTTTATTTGACATGTTGCGGTTACACAAAATTACTATCTTTATTGAATATTCGTCGTACAGTACGTGCATTGCTTAACAGTTTACGTATATTTACACAAGTTAAAAAACTTCCTGATGACCATATCTATACCTCTCATATTGCTATGACCCACATGTCCTCAAATTTCATGCCAGATTTTATTTAGCTTTATCAAATGAAAAATACTGCTCATAATATTCTTAAGAAAGTTCTTTCGCTGCAAAGTTTTTCTTTCATTTTAAAAAAAGTCAAATACATTGTGAGTTTTCAATTGAAAATTTCTTTATTATATTTATTAGTAACTATAATTAAATAAAAAAAAAATTTCCATTCTCACAAAAAAAAAAAAAAAAAAAAAAATTAGAATAAAAATGGAAAAAGATTTCCATTTTTATTTTGAAAAATTTTTTTGAAGATTTTAAGATTTAAGAACATTTCATTTTTACGTAATTAATTTTTCAAAACTTCATTCTTACGAAAAATGATAATATTTAGATCAAAATGGAAAAAAAGATTTCCAATTTTTATTTTAAAAGATTTTTGAATATTTTTTTCAAGAAACACATCATTCTTACGTAAAAGAGAAATAATTAATTTTTTAAAACTTCATTCTTACGAAAAAAATAAAAATATTTGGATCAAAAATGGAAAATGATTTCCATTTTTATTTTGAAAGTTTTTTTGAATTTTTTAAGGAAAACTTCATTCTTACGAAAAGAAAAAAAAAAATAAGAACGAAAATGGAAATTAATTTCCATTTTCACTTTCTTTTTAAAATTTTTCAGGAAAACTTTATTTATAATGTGAGAAACATTTTAAAAAGTTAGTCTCACACTATTAACAATATAATATGAAAATATCATTTTTTTCGTCCAAATTTGGGAATTATGGTTAAATTAATTGCAAACAACTTAATCTATAAAAATACAAAAAATGTGTTCAATTCGAAAAAATTTAATTCGAAAAATTCCCTCGGATAAATTATTTTCCGATCAGAAATGTGCCCAATTTTCAATTCAAGTTATGATTGTCAAAATTTTAATGCAATTTGGTAAAAAGATTCTCTCGGATAATTATTTACCGGAAGAAATTAAAATAAAAAATATGGTAATATGATCAAGAACAGGTTAAGTTCAAAAAAGAAAAAATTTTTTTAATGGATTTTGTATCAATCAAAAAAGGAAATCTTTTTTAAGTTTTTTTTTGAATGAAACTCATTAAACTGATTAAGGATAATCATCCTCGATCGATTAACTGATTTCGGTTAGACCAGTTATCTAAAAAATTAAAGTTTTAATACTTTTTTAGCTAATATAGAAAAACACTTTCAGAAATGACAATAAATTAAAAAATATCGTAGTCTTCTTAATTATTGGAATTTGAATTCCGGTTTACGTCATTTAGTCATTTTAGTGATCTTCATATAAATCACATGTTTACGTTTTTTTCAATATGATATAAATGTTATAAATAACTCGCAATTCCCCATTTTAAAAAATACATTCATTCATTATTTATTTTTTTTTTTTTTCTAAATTCTAAATATAAAAAACCAAGAAAACGAAAAAAAATTTTTGCAAAAATGGGTAAAAATAAAAATATTGTCGTATTATGTGATGGTACATGAAATAATCCTAATTCTCAGACCAACGTTAATACATTATATAAAGAATTACTTGAGGAAAAATATAAACAACATGTCTTGTATATAGACGGAATTGGAATTGGAGAATTGGCCTTGAATTTCATCATTGATGGAGCTATAGCTCTAAGTCTTGATAATAAAATCAAAGAAGGTTACAAATTCATAGTTAATAACTATAATCCTGGTGATGATATATGGCTTTTTGGTTTTAGTCGTGGCGCTTACACTGCGAGATGTATTGCTGGAATGATAAGAAATTGTGGAGTACTGAAAGTTGATAGAGAAATCAAATCTGAACAGGTTGATAAACGTGCTGATCTCGCTTACGATATATATCGTAATAGAGATGCGGGTCATAGCCCGGAAGGAAAAGAATCTGAAGATTTTAAAAATACATTCAGTCATCCTGAACCTAAAAAACAAATTATAAAATTCCTTGGACTTTGGGATACTGTTGGCGCTTATGGTTTACCCGCTTATGCAATTGGTGAAGGTTTTAAATATTTGGAATTTTATGATCAATCTGTACCTAGTATAGTTAAATTTGCTTGTCAAGCTTTAGCCATTCATGAAAAAATTGCTTTCTTTGAACCTTGTCATATAAATTCGAATAATTCTGGTACTATTGTAAAAGAAACTTGGTTTCCTGGTATACATTGTGAAATAGGTGGTGGAACATTTTTAAATTTTAAAAGCAATGAAAAAATGATTAAAGCATCTCTTTTGTGGATGATAGAAAATATCGAACAAGTTGGAGGTTTATTAATGCGTGATGATATTGAAACTTATCGTACTCGTTTCTCTACAGATTCTGGACCTTCTTGGAACATTAATAATCTTCCTATATTTGATCGTTATAATACTATTATTCCAATGGTCATGCAAAAGGATAGAACCATTCCATTAGAATTAGATTCTAGTCAAAAAACTTTAAGAAAAGATCTTCTTTATAGGGATGGTGATTGGTTACTTCCATTTGGTACTAGGTCAAATCTATGTGCCCAATATGATTCGAATACGTATGAAGAATTGCGTAAAGATATGGAAACAATGGGAATTAAACTATATAATAATGTAAGTTACTATAAGGATATTAATGAAGAAGCACACGAGGGTACTCATATAATAATTCAATCAAAAGATTATAAAANAGAAGCACACGAGGGTACTCATATAATAATTCAATCAAAAGATTATAAAAAATAGAGTATTTTACATGTGACGTACCATTTTTTTTTTTTTTTTGAATATATTTATCAAATAAATTTTTTTTATTAATAAAAACATTTAACAATAATTGATAATTAATTTAAATAATACTAGTAAATAAACTAGATAATATATTTTCTTAAAAAGAATAACTATTAAAAATAATTTTTAAGAATTATTTTATATGTAACTTGTATAAAGTAATTGAAAATAATTTTGTCAAGTACGTCTCAATCGTCTCATCAGATCTCCAAAATTAAAGCCGCCGAATGGTCGAACCTATGGGCAAGAACAAAGTAATAAAGTACTAGGAAAAATAATTTTCCAAGACCAAAAATAATTTTGATATTGCTATATATAATGTATTTATTGCGATTAGAAAATTCAAATATCATTATTTCATTATGAAAAACCAAAAAAAAATTTTTATTTCAAATAGTGATTCCGGTTTAACTACTTTAGTTTCAGCTGATCGTTTGCAATTTCAAGATGCTATATATAGTTTAAATAATAGTTTGTAAAAAAACTGTGTACAAAGGCTAGGCTAAAAAACTTTATATAACTAGTAAACGGTATAACTAGTAAATTTTGCATTTTACTGGCTGACGCGTGAAAAATTGGTTAGGTGAAATTTTAATTATTTAATATATTGTATCAGATAAAGACAAGATATTGAACAACAAAGTCTGATAGCTTTATAGGTATTTTTACAAATTTTATAAAATTACGAACACATTTTCTTGTATATAAAAAATATTCTCAGTGATATCTAGCGATGATTTATTGTTTTTCATATTTCTGTTTTTTGTATATGTTCTAAATACATCTTTTGGTAATATAAAGTAAAAGCTAATTCCACAAGAATCATTAAAGATTCCTTTAATTGCCCTTAAGCCTTCTTGCTTAATACCATGTGACTTGGAAACGGTAACTTGAAATAGCTTGTTGTACCCTGTAAAAAAAGTCAATCCGTTTTTTATACTCCATCTTTTTTCCGTAAAAGGCTCATGTTCCCGGAATTAATAGCCTTATATGAGTTATATCGCGGAATTTATCGAATTATTTACATTTTCCGTGAATTGATCCATGAAAGGCTCATTTTTACAGAGTTTTTACAGAAATAACGATAAAATTTTTTATAGGGGTAGCGAACATAGCTGTCTATGGATTCAAAAATCTTGGAAGTTGATCGATAATATTTTTTTCAATCTTGCTAATATCATCAAATAAAAATTTCTTCTAGAGATTCCAAAGAGTTGTTTCAGGTCCTAATGCGCCGTCACCTGTGAGTTTACACGTACTGAAAAGGTTCCAAGAATTTCATGTGAGACCAATTCGAATAACTGCTCACAGAGAGATCCCATTGCAGTCTCAATAAAAGTGCGCAAATCCTCCTTATCCTCTTTCAATCTTTTTAAACATTTATATGCAATATAATCTGACCCAAAAAAGCAGGAGCAACAGGTGTATGGATCAGCTTTTTCACCTTCTACTTCTGTTTCTTCAAGGTTGATATGCATATGAATTAGTTTATGAGTAAATTCATCACCTGAGAAGTCTTTAGCTTGATTACAGAGCATGCCTGATTCACCAAAGATCAATCGAGAAATCCCACCACATAGTTTGAACTTATCTTTCAATGATTCTGAAGGAACTTTTTCGCAATATACATTCTTCCAACAGTCTTCAACTTCAAATTCATTCCATATCGGCATGTAAAGTTTTTTGCACCACTGCTTTGAAAAATCACTAATAATTGATTTCTTTGGTGAACCATAATTAACTTTCCATTAGAAAAATCATGTCCTAATTGGTCCCTTTTTCCATCGATTATACACCAAACATCTTGTTCTTCCGCTATTTGTCTGTATTGTACCTTGCCAATTACACATTCCTTATCACCTGAAGGATAAATCAATGCTGTAACAGTTTCATATTGCTAATATATTTATATATAAATATTAATATTATAAAATCTAACTACTATAAGGAAGGTGCATAACCTATTCCTTATGTGAGTTTTTTTAAAAATATTTTATCTAAACAATTATTAGTAATTATGAATTTTTTTAGAGTGAATTGTTCAAAAATGTTAGAATCTAACAAAACTTTTTTATTCTCTTTAAGGAGCACTATTAGCATTAACCTTCCAAAGAACGTTTTTCCAATACCTGGATTGCCAGTAATGAGGTATCAGCTGAATTTTGTATCTTATAATATAAAATCACTTAAATACTTGTAACACTCTCGGTTATAAATATCCATGTCTCCTTTATCCCCTGGTAAGCTTGGAATTTTGAATACCTTATCTTGTATGTTGATCTCTGGTAAGCTATTAAGTAAATTTTGAAATTTTTCCCTATCTGGAAAAGATACAAGTTAACTTAGGAATTTTTTTTATCCTTTAATAAAGTTCAACATTAAATAAAGATACCTTTTTGTCATCACTTTTTTACTCTATTATCTTCCTCATCCTCCACCATTTTCCTTTCCCTAATCGAATAAAAAAAAGATATAAGTGAGCGAGTTAACATGAATTTCTTGTTCGAGGGGTAATCATTTGGAGACACTTACCGTGGTGGTGGCGGTGGGGGTAGGACAATGATGTGGATTGAGCATCGTGTTTTATCAAAGTGTTCTAAATGGTCTGAAATTGGGTCTCCTGAAAACATCTCCTTTCCTTCAAGATCTTGTTTAACGTTAATTATACAAGACGTGTCATCAAGCATCTTCAAATTATCGTTTTCATTTCCGAAAGAGATATCAACTTTCCATAATACGAGGTCACTTTCGTCAATATTTTGTTTAAAAAAGGTGTTCTTTTTCTTATCATAGATAACATGCCTAAGGTTCATAACAAGTTCTGAGGATTCGAACTCGACAAAATCAAGTTTCCTTTTAACGGGAACTTCACCTAGAACAACATAATATGTCATGATATATCTGCAAACGCAAAAATCAAGAGTCAGAAGTAAAGTTTTAAAAAGTGATAACACAAATAAAAATTTTGGATGCAACGTTAAACCTCTTGAACTTAGTTTGCACCAGGGATGGCGAAAGTCTCGAAATAGCAAAGAATAGTTCGACATAAAAATTTTTTAAAGCAAAGATCTGATTTTATATTATTTTTAATGTATGACAATACAGGAATGTAACGGCACACCAAATACCGTCACTGTTTACTTTATACATTGATTTTAGAAATTTTTATTCATATGAGTTACTAAAAAGGAATATTATAACCAAAAGTAGAAGGTATCATCGCTAATTATTTTTTTCTGGTTAGATACGAGTCCATATGACGATCTGTATAAATATTAGGTTGAACAATAATTTCTAAATCCAACATAATTTTTTTTTCTTTAGAAATAAAACAAAAAAAAACACCAGAAAATTAACGATGCCGCCCAGCGTAATGAATAAAATTACAGATATCAATATTTCTGTAAGTGATGAAAATTTTTTAAAGAATCTTATAATAAGATTTCGTAATAACATTATTAAAATGGATGATTTTGGTAATTTTGAAAATATTTTAACTAATTGGATGAACTCTTTCCTTGAAAATAGTAATGATAAAGACCCTAAAAAGATTCTCAAAATAATGAAAAATCATAAAGAAAATAAATCTTGGTTTACAAGTTTAATAGGATATTTTTATCAATTTGGTATTGGTTGTAATCTTAATAGGGAAAAGGCATTGGATTGTTATTTAATTATTTAATTGCCATCAATAATAATATTGTTATATATAATAGACAAGAATCAATTACATTTGATTGTAGTAAAAAATAATGATGCATTAAATATGTTAAGAAATAGTAACACAATTATCGGAAAATATTTTATCTTCTTTTATTATAAAGATATTATTTTATCTGGTATTGATTTTAAACAAAATCAATTAGTATATCTTCTAGAATTAAACGGAAATAGTGATTAGAAGTACAATTTAATTTAACAATTCGTAGAGATGACATAAAAGCTAATTATAAAAAGTTTTTGAATTACTCCTACGTTTGACTGAAGAAGGAAATTTAGATGCACAATATAATTTGGCAATTTGTTATATGGATGGAATAGGAACACAAAAAGACGAAAAAAAGCATTTGACTTGTTTTTAAAATCTATTCAACTAAATAAATCACGCGTTCATAGAAATAAGATGAGGAGTAAATTTGAAATGGATTTAGAATCTGCGATATCAAATAATTCCATAGCACAAAATAAGATAGGATATCATTTTCAATATGGAAAGGAGGAGTAAAAAAATATATAACAAGGGCATTTAAAGGATATTTAAAATCAGCTGAAAATGGAGATGCAATGAGTCAAAGTAATGGGGATATTGATATGAGCATGGGATAGGAATAGATAAGGATGAAACAGAAGCAATTGAATGGTATATACAAAATCAGCTATTCTAGGATGATAAAATAAAAACATTTGAATGGTACACAAAAGCGGATGAAAATGGTGATGCTGTAGCACAAAATAATATAGGATATTGTTGCAAATATGGTAAAAGAACAGATAAGGATGATAAAAAAGCATTTGGGTGGTATTTAAATTCGGGTATAAAATGGGACAGTTTAAATTATTCAAAATACATTAATAGGTTTGCATAATTTCCCTACAGCCCTTCGTATTAACAATCAAACAACGATTCATTTAGCCTAATAAGCGATATTACACATTATAACAACCTGTAATTTAGTAATGTTTATATATTAAACTGCATTTATCTTATTTTGCTTGAACCGATTTATTTACTTAGTAGTAAAGAAATTATATAGAAAGAATTTGTCAATTTAGTAATCTTTTTATTTCTGTTATTAGTTTATATTTAAGAAGGAAATAAACTTTTAATCAATAAATTATCTGGATGAATATTCCTTTTAGCGAAAAAAATACAAATCTGATTAAAAATAAATAAAATTTGATGAGTCGTAGCTTTATTATGCATAAGTATACAAATAAAATATCTTTATTATGTAAAATCTGCCAAATAATAACCGTTAATGATTAATCTACTAAAAATTCGATAAATTTAATTTTCAAATCATTGTAATTTTGGATTACTATATTATATTCCTTTACTTCATCTATCAGATGAAATAAATCTTCATCATTTTCACCATCATCAGTAAAATGATTTTGAAAAGCAAAGTATTTAACTCTTTTCATTTCCATAATATGATCTTTTATATTATATAACAAATTGTCTTGTCTAACTTCTTCTCGTGTTCTATCTATTATATTACTAAATAATAATTTCTTGATAAAAGTATCTTGAGAATTTATCAAAAATATTTCAAAATCAGTAGTATTCATAACAAGAGTCAAATCTAAATATTCTAATTTAAAAGGAAGTATTTGACCTAAATTTTGTAGTACAATTGAGCTAAGTTCAGTATCTCTATTAAAACCTGATCCAAAATCGTAATTTATATCAATAGTAAGATAATTAAGGTTTTGTTTAATGCTTTCAATTAAGTCGAATGTTAAATAAATATTTTGATTATTATTAAATTCAATTAATTCAAAGAATTTAACTTTTGTACAATATCTTGTGATTAATTTAAGTAGTTGTGATTTTGCTTCAAGGAGTTGTGAATCTGATACATCATTATAATATGTAGTATTAGGTTCAAATGATAATCCAAAATTTTCTAAATAATCTCCAGATTTTTGTAATAATAATTCTATTGACTCGAATATTTCATCTACAAATAAGGATTTTAATTTAAATGGTTTACTTAAATTAATTATTTGTTGAATAAAATTAGAATCTAAAGAATAACAATACATAATATGAACAGATTCTAAAACATTTAATTGTTCGAATACTTCATTTAAAATATTTATATTATTAAAATTAATATAAAGAAATATAATTGTGTTTAAAGTGTTTAAACAATTTGAATTTAATAATATTGGAGGAAATTTTTTAACGAAACAAATTTTTTTAAGATTTTTTTGTGATTTAATTAATTGTGATAAATATTCAATATCTGTATTATCTTTAAATCTTGGATTATAAAGTGATGAAATTGAATTGCAATTAGAACTTAAAACTTTTAATAAAGGAGTACTAATTTTAAGATAAAGAATTTTAATATTACGAATAAAATGTGGATTTTGTAAAACTGATTCAGAAACAATATCAAAATAATCATGATAATGTGTAACATTAAAAGTATATAAATTCGCTTCATTCTCAATGAATATTTCAATTAATGATTTATGAATAAATTTTATGAAATCTGAATTTTGTATATTCTTAACAAACCAAAATAAAGATTTTTCCTTTTTAACAGCTGCAGCCCAGTTTTCAATACAATCACCAATCAAACGTCCATCTAAATGTTGAATAAAACTAGGATAATTAAATAATGTATTTAAAGGAATTAAATGATTTATACCAAATTCATTTAATTTTATTTTATCATTATCATTTAAATTAATCAAATAAATTTCAATAAAACGAATTTTATGATATTCAATGTTATAATTGTTTTTACGAGATATAATTGAAAATGGATTTTCCCATAATAATGGAATTGCCAAATGACACCATAATCTATTGACTAAGATACAAGAATGTAATGTTGAAAAATCATTCCGAAAATATTGCATAATATCGCTCAATATTTCGGGTAATTCTCCTGAAAATATTTTTGAGCACGCCATATTAAGTAAAAAGAGAAAGGGAAGGAGAGGTTTTTGTTTGAAGTTTGGTTTGTGGTTAAATTCATGCATTTCGGAGTTACGACTCCGATATTGTTGCACAATTAATTTATGCATGTCGATCACTTCGTTCACTTGAGAAATTACTACGGTTCAAATCTTACAGTAATAGAGGATGAAATTGTAAGTATGAAGTCAAGAGAATTGAATTACTTTATATACAATAATAAACGAAGAGTTTGAGAATGATACGAAACATCTTCAAAAGTTCCTCTGCGGCGTAGCAAATAAGAGATTTACCAAATCCCCTATAAAAAAATTTTCAGAAAAATGATCACGTGACCGAGTTTCTTCGGAATAAAAACTAGAAAAATGAGAATTTTTTTTATAGGGATCAATCGGAACAAGAAATTAAATTAGGGAAATAAGATTGATAAATACAGGAGTAACAGGACCCAGAAATACGATATATATATATAGGGGTCAGGTGATGAAAAAATTTTTACTATGAGCTGTACGCATTTTTTCATTGCCGGAATTATGATAATGTCAGTCGGTTACTATAATAGGAAATAAATTCTGACTGGAATTATCAAAAATTATCTAAAAAAGGATGATTTTTTTTAGTTCAAGATACGCAAACCTTATATATATTTCTGGGTCCTATAAATACCAATGAAAATAAAAAGTTTGCATAGAAACTATCCCGTGGAAGCCTTGTCACATATTACATCGCAAAATTTTCAAGCAGACCGGCAATCATTATTAATCATATGAACACCAAGTACATATATATAGAAATAGGAAATAAGAAAAGAAAAAAAAAACTAAAACAAACTGTCAGATTTAGGGGGTCATTAAAGCAAATGCGGTTTATCTGGTTTATCTAGAGATGTGCTATACGCATTATATAGTATCGCATAATGCGTATAATGCGCATGATATTAGGTGGTGAATATTGCACTCAATTTTTATTTTGGCCAAAATTATAATTTTAGTAAAAATTACATTGTAATTCTGGTCAGATAAAGTAATTATAAAGATGAATATTTGTAATAAAAATGAAGAAAGTGTATTATAATAAATTTTTTGCATTTTTTTTTTTTTTTTGACTGATTATGCGTATTATGCATAATGCATTATAAATTGAAATTTTCGCATCTCTAGGTTTATCACATGATATTATAAAATACATTTTTATGGGTCAATTATATAAATATATAAGAAATAAAAAAATCGGATTTGTGATTTACCGACCTTGCGTCACCTTAATATAGAAATTTCCACTCTGAACGACAATCATTTATATTACTGTGAATAAAATTTACTACACTTTTTATGGAAACCAAAAAGATCATTTGATCATATTTTGAACTATTAACTTTAGTACATGACAGTATTTCATACACTTAATGGAAACGAAATGCCTGAAAATTTAATTTTCTTCGTGATGTTCCTAAAGATATATAAAATGAAATGAGATTCTTTACTACCATGACATAATTATCACGATTATCATAATAAAATTCATAATTTTTGCTAAAAAGAAATGTTCTACTAATTTATGCAGTTAGCTTTGGGGAAAAGTCAAAGAATATAGTGCGTACAATCTCTAAAAATTAAATTTATCTTCATGCCGTTCTGGAAATTGAAAAAAATACAGGAGATTCTTTACTACTGTAACATAATTATCAAATTGCTTGTTAATGGTCATAGACAATATATATATATATCTTTGAGAAACGTTTAATTTATTGCATAATAACAGATAAATAGGAATGTATAATTTGTTAAAAATGTTATTTTTACAATTTTTTAATAATATTATACCTAATGATAAATAAATTATAAATATAAGAAATATCTTTGCTTTTAATTATTAGTTATTAATTGATTTTTAATTACCTTTGATCATTTTATATTTAATATTTCAATTTCGCGTACATAATTTTTACTACGAAATACTTACGTCACTTCACCTGGAAATATGAAAAGTGAATTCAAAAATTAAAAATTCGATTACGTTGAGCTCGGTTTTTGACTCGAACGCACGTGATATGTAATGCCGGCCAGAACAATTATAGAGTCGGCCATGTCAAACCCATAGTTTAGGCCCGCACTATGGTAGTTAACATAACCGTTCACCGTTCACCGCTCGATCACTCTGGTCACGATTGATTCACTAATTCACATCAATCATTTTACGGAGAATTTGCCATCTTTATAATTCTTGATATACTGTATTCTAGATATTTTTCTGGCATATGTTGAATACGTTTAGTAACTGTTAGGTTAGCGTTATCCATTTTAGCATATAATAAAAAGGACTTCAAAAAATTAGTAGTAGATTCCTGTTTCAATACATCTTTCAACTTGTTATTTTGAATGTATCAACAGAAATAACGGATAAAATTTTTTTATAGGATGTCGAAATGCCGAAATGGTGTAATTAGTAAATTTCGACGATATCTAAATGTTAAGCCACATTTGGTTAGTGATATCATTAATTTGAATAATTTAATAAAATTTACAAATTAAGATATATAAAAATAATTTGAGTTATTAATATACTATTGTCTTACTGCAATCTAGACTGAAGACTCCGTATATAAAAATTCTTGTGAACAACTGAGCGTGATCAATTTTTCTTATTAGGAAACTGGGTGAGTAAAAAGTTAATAATTTATACGAAATTAGATGTTTCGGAGGATTTGGTTTAGAGTAACACCTGGAAATTGACAAGTCGGTAACCTTTCGTAATTATCGTTTAATAATATAAAAAAGGATGGTACAAATATTTTTTTTTTTTGTAAAAATATGTGCATACTATAAGTTAGGATCGGTTAATTTGTTAAAGAAATTGTTTAGCCGGCTAAATTGATGAAGGTTTTGTATAGTTTGGACGGTCACTGACAATCACGTAGTGCGTAGATTCGATGGACAATTATTAATACATACACTTGAATGCATTTTTATTTTAATACGGAAGTGAATTACTTATTACAATGAAAAAAAAACGGAACATGTGGCAGTATCATTATGACATATTATTCTTGTTTAAATTTATATTTAATTTTAGCGTTTATTTTTGGGCTGACTCAATTATAAAATTATCGAATAACATCTTTTTTTTTTCAAATTAACAAGATTATTTTTATTAAATAATAACGTTGTTAATATAAAAATTTTTATAACAATAACGGAGATATTGAGATTTGAGAAGACGATTAATCATATTGTCCGAAGCGTTAGCGAAGGACAATTTACCGTACTAAACTAGCAACATTTGGTTTAACCCCGTTTTTGTCCCTGTCACAATCGACAATTTACTTCCTTTTTTGAATACGTATCACGAATCACGATTTATGTAACACTACTTATTTGACCTCTAAATAAATACGTAGATCACGTAACACTTGAGAGTTATGCAACGCGAAGGACTTAAACGTTTCCATTTTCCTAGTCATACGTACTTATGCATCAGATATTCGGTCATCTTTATGGTTGTATAATGCCAAAATCATTTTCGTAAAAAAATGTCCACAAAGAAACTTTTTTTTTTTTTTGTGAATAAAATCGACTTCTTTTATTGAAATATAAAAGCAGCGATGATCTCACTTGATATGAGTGGAATTAGGTCATCGATTTAGACAGGTTAAATGTAATTCCGGTGATGCATGATATGTCGTATGTGATAAGAAACTGGAAATCACTCATTTAAAAATTACTTTCAAAAATATTTTTTTAGAAGATTTTTTTTTGATTCAAAATTTCAAATCATCATCAAATGTAGATCATTTCATCTATTACGCCTTATCAAAAAAAGGGGTATTTGTGTGTGATTAATTTGGCTAGTTTGAACTCGGGGAGTACGAGAAATCGGAGAGTGCCAACTGCTAATGCCCGCTCCGAGTACAAACTTTCTTTTGATTAATTTCCTGTTGTCATATATTTGATGATTTTGGATTCAGACGCTTACATTTTATTAATTTCATTTATAATAGAACTAAAATTGTATGATTCGCGTTGTTGACGCTATACCCGAAAAGGGATGAAATAAGATGCAAATTCTAGAGTTTGGAACCGGTTCTATTTTCGAAAACCGAATTTAAAACGGGTGCAACCGGTTCGATCCGTTTCAAACCGATTTCGCAAAACCCGATTGAAACCGAATAACCGAATCGTATATATTTGATAATTCCGGCCAGAATTAAATGTGATCGGCATAAATCTGGCCAAGTTATAATTCCGGCCGGAATTACAACCCTTGTGTAACACAATACGAAATTTTGTGGGACACAATTATCTGTAATAAAATTTTGTGTAACATAACTTACCCGGTGGCTAAACTATTTAGCCGTGGTCACGTGATTTAATTCGTAATTCGGGCCAGCACTATAAAGTTTCAATATCAAACCGGGTTGGAAATCCGGTTGCACCCGTTTTAAACGCAAACCGGTTTCAGAATATGAATTCGGGTCAAACCGAATTGTCAAAAAATCGGTTGGAACCGATTTTTAAACCGGTTGGTGCAACCGGTTCCAAACTCTAGCAAATTCCAATCTGAAATTGGAAATGATAGTCCTTTCAATTAAAAATGACGGACATCGACAATAAACTTTTGAATAATTCTGTAACCTGTATCTTTTAAATAGTCGCTCTTTTTAGAATATTGTATGAACATGTTGTGAATATACCTTCAAGATGAAAGCTTTAATAAATGTTTGAATTTTATATTATATAAATATTTTTTTAAGTTACAATGTGCTTATCCCGACTAAAAAAGGTTACACAATTAGTTCCTTTTTTATACTTTATCATAATATTTTATTTTTTTTCCTTTGATAAAAAAGTAAAGTAATTAATACTAATTATAGATACTTTCATACTTTGATTATACTTTGAGAATAAATAAAAAACAATTATTTTTCATAATTTCATAATAATTTTATTATACCTTTTGTAACAAAATATTTGAAAATTAAGAAAATACAAATAAATTTTTAAAATATATTTACGTATATATATTTAGAAGAAATCTTATGAATAAAAACTTAAATTTTATAGAGACATGAAAAATTTTATGTTATACACACAATAAATCATAAAGTATCGTTAAACATAATATTCTTAAAAAAAAAAAACTTATTCTTATATATTGATAGTTGATCGAGAAGTGAAATATTTAAAGGATCTTTCGTAAATCATGCCTAAAGGTAATAGTGAAAAGGTGATATTTTGAATACTTTAACGGAAACTCGAAAAGTGAAATTTTATTAAAAGGTTCTCTAATAAACCATGATTCATTGAAAGGATCTTTCGTAAATCGTACCTTAATGTAATAATGAAACAAATGGTGTTTAATACTTTATTAAAAACTTGAGAATTGTAAGTAAACCATACCTAAAGGTAAAATCAAAGATTCTACACTATTATTTTCTTGAAAATTTGTTCCACTAAAAAAATTATTTCCTAAAGTTCCTAAAGTGGTATTGGTTTTTGATGTATTGATTCGAGCGATTAACTCGATAAAGGAAGAATTTCGAATATTATTTATGTCATCTGCAAAATCTGAAAGACGCTTTTGTTGTGACGTAGTCAAATGTGCCCAAATTTCATCAACATTGATTGTACTATGTTGATTATTTAATAGCAATTTACGCTCTAGGTTCGGTTTGAGCAAATCTTTTCCAGTTAATATTTGAACAAGTGTACCATTTCTTGCTTTATTAGCAAGATTTTGTATTTGTTTACTAGTAGGAAAAAATTGATTCATATTGTTTTATTGAGATTTTTGAGAGAGACTTTTTTTAGCGCATTTTATATTTTTTGAATACTATGATTTACGAATAAAAATCTGTCGAGCAAACGGGAGGATCATTATACTAAAGATTTATCAATGAAATTAGCGTTCTTTATTTACGAATAAAAATATGTCGAGCAGACGGGAGGATACCGGCATTATACTAAAGAAACGTCAATGAAATTGGCGCTTACTTACTAAATTGGTTAAATAGTTAAAAAGAGCCTCCGAGAGAATTTCTCCAAATTTACCGATGCGTAGTAATTAAAAATCCTAAAATCTATAAATAAACATAATAAATTATCTAATAGCTATTGGCTATTTATTTAGGATTTTATAATCATGCTATAAATAATCATGGGATAGTGACAAATATAGATTATCATGCATCCGAGAGATATAAGACGCGTAGTTAATTGTGCACACAATATCACATAGTGATAAAATCATAGTATGTGACGATGCATATTAAAGTGGCGCGGTTCAACTCAACTTGCATACGACAAATACGACAAGTCGCTAACCCGCTAACGCATTCCCGACAGCACATTTTCCCGATAGCCTAAACGCTTGGCCGTTTGATCACGTGTTCGCACATAACTCTGCCCAAACCTGTCGGCAAATGTCCTGTCGGGAAATCATCCGTCAGGAAATCGTGTCGTAACCGGTCAGTTTTCATACTTATGAAAAGGGAAACGGGCGTGTAAATGCATAAATATACACGCCTTATTCGCTTTATTGCTTTATTTTGAAGATATTAAACATGTCCATGAGAAATTTAAGAAAATAAACCTATTCAGATAAATTCAAGTTGTATTGAAATTCATTAGATTAAAATTTTATTGTTGCATAAAATAAAAAATTATTATCATTTTTTCAAATTTCTCCGCTATTAAAGTAACATTTTTTTATAATACCTTTCGTTTTATAATCTTGTAATTGTTGTTTTACTTCATAGTAATTTAGATTATGATTAGTTAAACTTAAAGATATTGGATACCTATCTTTCCAATTATTAAGAAATAATGTTACATCTTTTATATATTGTACCTTAATAGAAAAAAATTTAAAATTAATCAAACTAATTGGTGATGATTTAGTTAATATTGAGAATAAATTAACCCAATCAAATTTATCATCATATGTATTAAAAACTAATCCATTTAAAAATTTACATTTAATTAATAAATCTTCAAATTCCGGAAAAATTAAATCAGCATTAGATAATAATGATAATTTTAGATATTCAAGATTTGGACAATTCTGATAAATTGCTTGAATAAGTCTTTTTATATTATCACTATCACAATATTTAATTTTAATTTTAACAAGATTTCCTTTTGTACTTTCAATTAAATTTGTTATAATTTTAGAAGGAATTTGTCGAACTTTGAGGATTCTTAAATTAGGAAATGATAAATTTTTTAAATTATCTGGCTCATTATAATATACTAAGTGAGGAATTCTAATTTCTAAACTTAATAAATTTACAAGATATGAAAGAAATCTTGTAATAGGTTTCCAATCAATTCTCAAATATTTGAGAGTATTTGCATGCTTAATCAATATTTCTTCAAGAGTTTTGTAAAATGAATTATTTGGATCATCTCCATCATATATATGGAAGATACAAACGTCATTTAGATTTTTTTGTACTTCAATTAGTTTAATGAATCCGGAGTTATCAGTGGGGTAACGAATAATATCAAATACTAATTTTTTAATTGATTTGCATATTTTAGCTAATCCTTCTAAAATACTCTGATCACTATTGCCTGTATAACAAAAAGATTCAAGCTCTGAAAAACAATGCTCAGTTCCTGAAATTTGATAGAGTTGGCAATCATAATTTATGTAAATGGAAAGATGAGTAAACTTTGTATCCCTATTAATAAATAATTTTAACATCTCATTTCTTATGTTAGACACGATGGAGTCGTTGGACGTTCCAATCAATTTTCGTTCAATTATACAGTTTAAATGATCAAAGTCTAAATGTCTCCAGAAGTTAATGTAATTAAATGAAGGATGTTGATATGTTTCAATATCATATTCTCTTAATTCTACAGGTAAATGTGAGTATATTACATTAAATAATGCACACACTACTTTTTCTGATAAATAATAATTAGGATTATCAGTTCGTGTAGGATTTTTCCATAAAATTGGCACTGCTACTACACACCAAGTCCTGTCTACTAAAAGACATGAATAAAGAGATTTTTTGTCATTTCTTAATTCTTCAAATATTGAGTAAAGCACGTCATTAATTAAATACACCATTTTTTCTTTAAAAAGGGACGGAAACGCGGACGATGTACTTATATATATCCAAATATTATGATTGAGAAAAATTAATTATTTATACTTTTTAACAAATTTATAATTACAATATTGCAATATATATATACCATTTCAGAGGCGATTCTTTCCATATTTGTTCATGACACTTTTCTGAAGTTTCAGGACGCTATTAAGTTATGACATATAATAACAAAAAGTATTTAGTAAATGACCTACCATTAAAAGATTTGTCATAATCCTAAATTATTTAACAATAATGATTTTAAAATTATGATAAATGACATTAATTTGAGTAATTTTGTCGTAATTTGTCAATTGCGTCATTATGTGATTTATGAGATTTATGTGATTAATGAGTCAAACGTATTAAATATGATAAGTTCTTACTTCAATACTCCCATAATATTATCGGTTTGATGATTATCTAATAATTTTATTATAATACTAATAATATGAATAACTGATAATATATATTTTACAACTTTTGATATTACATATCATCTATTATTAAATGATACTAATGTAATAAATATGAAACATTAACAATAAAATAGTAAAATTTATTGTACATCTTACAATAGTTTATTAAAATTGTTCCGTAATGTAACGTAATGTAACGTAATGTATCACAAAAAAATCTAATTAATTATTCAATTTAATCTAAGCCAGAATCGGTTAGATTAGGCGCTTTAAAGACGCGATTTTTTATTTATTTATTTATGTATGAGACTAATTTTAACCCAGGGTAATTTAACCTGGGTGACTTAACCTATTAATCGATTTTATATAATTATATAATTTTGCTCAAGTTTTCAAAAAAAAAAAAAATGTAAATTTTTGATGATTACAATAAAAAATGAGAGACATCAAAAATGTAAGAAAACTTGGTCATTATGTTCTATAATATCCAAATAAATAAAATCTATATAAAGTGAAATGAATAATAACACAAATAATTTTTTTTTTTTTTTAAAAAAAAANTAATACCTTGGCGCAAAATAATTACAGTCAAAAGTTTCTTCTTCTCTAAGACGATTTAATACTATTTTCATATTGAAGTATGACTTTCTTAATATCTGTGGTAAATTTATTATTTGTATAAAGATTTTTTTAATAAAGTCAAATAGAATGAAGTATTATTTTGTAATGAAATATTCGAATTGCAAAAAAAAAAAAAATAATAATTTTTGTTGTAAGAATTTTACACATATATATATTTTAACTTTATAAGTACTGAAAAAGAAACCTAAAATAAACGCCTTGTTTCATAATAAATAAACTCAAAACTGTTAATCTTTACATGATAATACAAAAATGTTATACAACTTTGATCTAACCTTAATTAACTGAACCGAACCGAACGAACAATGTCATCAAAAATATTAAATAATATTATGGATATTTATATAATGAAAATTCTTTAAAGAATTTTCAAAGATATTCATAAAAAAATTATGATTTTAGTAAGGATGATAAATTGTTCGACGAATTCGGTTTGTACTCCAAACTATTAGTTCTGTCTCTTATACACATCTAGATGTGTATAAGAGACAGTATATGTAGAGCTCATCTGTAGATTATAGGAAACCGAAGAATTAGCCGATCTCAGAGGATTAGCATAATTATTAGAGTTCAAACTTTCATATGAATTAGTATTCCTCACAGAGGGTATTGAAATCTCAGTATTGTTGGAAGATGGTGTATTGTTAAATGGAGGCGTATTGTCAGGTTGGAGTGCAGGTATGTAATTAGAGGGAGGAGTTTTAGGCAATTTCTTATCATCGATAATAACTGAGTAGTCCTCGTTTGATGCAAGAAGTCTCTCAAGTTCCTCTTGCTGTTTAGTAATTCTTCTAAGTTTATTATTTCTATAAAGGTGCAAACGGATGGTACATTCGGTAATTTCAGCGAGGGCGTCATTAATTTCTAGCTCTATTTCAGCTTCCTCAGCATACTTTGGCGTTATCTTTCCCTTGCCTTTAGCACTATTATTATTTTCAAGGGTATAATTTATTTCTACTTTATAATGAGTGAGGACGTTACGCCACTTGAGTTTCCAATTGGCAGTTGGGTTATCAGTGGCATTATATTTATCGAACAATAGTTTAAAAGCATCAGAAAATCTTCCTGAACGACGTTTTGCTTCTTCGTCGACCAAATATTTACCCCCAAAGTAAGCGATAGTACTGATAATTGATACAATGGAGGGAGCAATAACACGACCAAAAAGTGAAGCGGCATAGATAAAAAACAGAAGCAAAATAAAGGAAATAGTTCCGTAAACATATAAAAGACCCTTTTTCGCTCTTTGACTCAGTAGTGGGTTTTCAGCGACTGTTCTATTAATTTCTTCAAGACGAACATCTAATTCCTCCCTGTCAATATAACCATGCATATCAAGACACCATTCTGTTTCAAAATAATACCTTGGCGCAAAATAATTACAGTCAAAAGTTTCTTCTTCTCTAAGACGATTTAATACTATTTTCATATTGAAGTATGACTTTCTTAATATCTGTGGTAAATTTATTATTTGTATAAAGATTTTTTTAATAAAGTCAAATAGAATGAAGTATTATTTTGTAATGAAATATTCGAATTGCAAAAAAAAAAAAAA